ATCGTAAGCTTTCCCCAATCGAGCTTGACTAGGAGTTGGATTGGGTTCTAGAATGAATGCATTCATGGGCTACAAGGGCACCGTCCAAGATTTGGCGGTCCTTCACAAAATCCCCTTGGTGGGTAGAGATTACCCAACCTAGGACCTCCTTGAGTCTAGAGGCCGGGACTTTTGCTAAAACTTTGAAGGAGATGTTGATTAGGCTAATGGGTTTGAAGTCCTTAAGTTCTTTTGCCCCCTCTACTTTAGGAATGAGAGCTATGAAGGTGGCATTCGTGCTCTTGTTTATAATCCCCCTCTCATGGAATTCCTCAAAAAAGGCAATGATATCTGGCGAAGGGGATCCCAAAATTCCTTGAAAAAGGTTATGGGGTAGCTGTCAAGGCTAGGAGCTCGGTGGTGGCCAAGATCAGCTATGGTAGAGACAAAGAGCATAGTCAGGGGGAGGGTTTGGAAGGAGAGGTCAACTATCTTAGGGGTGGGTTAAACTGGTCCTCTAAAGAGGGACACAAAGTAGAATAATGGTGTTTTCAATTTGAGGAGTTGATCAAGGATCACACCATCTAAAAGTAGCTGAAAGGATGGTATTCTCTCCTACGACAATCTTGTGAAAGAAGGCCGTATTGATATCCCTGCATTGGAGCCATATGACCCCACATCTTTGGGCCCATTAGATCTCTTCTTTTTTGAGGGTGTTGAGGTAGGCTTGTTTAAGCTGTGACCGAAGAAGGATATGTTGCTAGCTGAGATTGCGAGATTCTTCGGTGAGGTCCCAAAAGTTGATGGTTGTAAGGTAATATTCTTTAAGGGCATGAAAATTCCCAGGGAGTTGCCTGCTCCAAGTTTTGAGGAAGCCTCTGAGAAGTTGGAGTTTCCTCTGAAGGCAGTAACCTGCTCACGTGAGGACTCTATGGGAAAGCAAGGCCCACAAAGAGAAGATGAGGGAAGCAAGGCCGGGCTCCTCAAGCCATGCTAGCACGAAGCAAAAAGGTTTGGTCCTGATCGAGGTTGGGAGGGTTTTGAGAAGGATAGGTTTGTTGTCGGAAGTTGGCTTGGGTAGGGCCAAAGAATGCGTGCCAGGGAAAGAGCTTATCCCATTTGAGGCTGATGAAGTATCAGTCCAATTTGGAAAGAGTGGAAGAGGAAGAGTGGCTGGACCAAGTGAGAACAACACCTAGGAGAGGGATGTCAATTATGTCGTTTCTAGAAATGAAATATGAGAAGTCTAACATGACTGGAGAGATCCTTGCGGTTGAGTTCTTCTCAAAGGACCACCTTATGACATTGAACTCACCACCTATTTACCACCGAGCGGGGGAGAGGGAGGCAACAATGTCTAGCTTGTTCCAAAGGAGACTCCTAGCTAAGTCGGAGTTAGGGCCGTAGACTTCCGTGAACTTCCATGGTAGCCCTTCAAAATCCTAGAAAGGATGATGGTCATTGTGAAGAGGCAATGTGAGGAGGCTAAGGTGTGGGAAGAAGGGTCCTAAATGACCCATATTCCACCGGAGGCATCGGCGGAATCAAGAGCCACCCATTGGCAAGACTTGCAGCCCCAATCCTTGTGGACTTGGGCTAGGGAGGGGGAGGGTTTGGTTTCGATGAGCGTTAGGTTGGAGGGGCATTGTTTGGAGCAAAAGGTCGAACAAAGTTGGTTTTGAGGGGATCTTTCGGGCCCCTGATATTCAAAGTAAGGAGCTTCATTGGTGGGGTGGTGGTGGTGGGAGGCGGAGATGTGTCTGGGGCTTCTGAATCCCGGTTGTGCCTCTTGAGGAGTAGGGGCACAGGAAGAGGAGAGAGTATAGAAGTCGTAAATGACCCCGAAGCGAAGGTTTGAGAGTTCTCATTTTCCCTTGCCGCTTACTTTAAACATGTTATGTATGTCCATTTTAATGAACTTCTCTAGGCCTTTTGGCGAGCCATCGAACTCGAGACCCATCAGAATGTGGATCTCTAGGATATTGCCTTGGGCGTTGTCCATCTGGTTAACAAAATCTGAGTCCACTGAGGTGGGTGACCCCGAACTGGAGGCTGAGAAAGAGCTTGACTGAAGGGGAGGGAAGAAAGTGGGGTCTAAGAAGGGGGAGGGGCTGCCGTTTGGTGAGGAGGGTCCGGCCAGCTGCTTCAGTGGGGGCTCCACAAAAGATGGAGGGTGGGGTTAGAGGAGAGGGAGGTGGAAGAATAAGAGGTGAAGAGCAATAGATGGGGTGTGGGGTCAAGGGGAAAGGTTGAGAAGGGGGAGCGATGGGAGATATGGATCGTGGGACAGGAATGGGTGTTGGCATGGGAGCGAGGGTTAGGGGGATGATGGGGAGAGGGGAGAATGCCAGGTGAGGGAGGTTGGGTTGGGGTGGAAGGGGGTAAGGCGTAGGAGGGAAGGGTACTAGGGAAAGAGAGAGGGAGAGGAAAAGCATAGAGAGAATTGGGGGGGGGGGGATAAGGAAGGGAGGTGGAATGCCTGTGGCCAAGGGGAGTTGGAGAGATTGAAAGGGGTTTTGGGGGTAGATGCAGTGAGTGGAATGAGGAGGGTTAGAGGGAGGAAGGTACAAAGGTGGGTATGGGGGGGTTAGAGGAGCTGGGGTAAGGGAGAAGGGGAGCATGAGAAGAGGCTGGGGCCATGAGCTTAGAGGTCAGAGGTGGAGATGCGAGCAGCTGGCCATAGGAGGGGGGAGGGAGAGGAAAGACCACCTGCAAAAAAGGCGGAAAGGCTGGTAGATGTAGCACAGAAGCGTTTGGGATAGGGGTGGAGCGAGAGGAGAGGGAATTATTGAGGTTTACGACGATGGGAGAAGAGTGGCAATGGCTAGTGGGTGGGAGAGGATGGGTGGAGGGCCAAGAGAGGATGGCTTTTAGGTTAGTGGTGCCCGAGGGCGACAGTGCAGAGGCCTTGGGTAGGGAGGAGAAATCTTCGTTGTCAGATGGAGGACAGACGACTGGTTGCGTTCCATGTGGAGAAGGCGGCTAAAGGGGAATGGGTGGTACGAAAGGCAAGTACGGGTTTTGTCAATGAGGGTCATGTTTGGAGGTGGGAGAGGGTTTTGGAGGCTCAAGGAAATGAGGGATGAGGAGGCAGGAGGTACGTGGAGCGAAGTGACAACGAGGGTGGATTGATGGCAGGTCACGGTGGCCGAGAGGGGACAAGTGTCTTGTACATGGGCGGTTGAGTGCATAGATGCATTGGGAGGGGATGAGGGAAGATTGGGAGAATCTGGGCCATCCATGTCTGCCACAAGAGAGTGGGTGCCAAGGGGGTTGATGGAGGTAGCCTCAACAAAAAGTGTGTCGGGGTCTCTACATAGAGCATTGTGGAACCTGGGATGGAGGGATCTGTGTCACTGCGATGACTTGCGTCGTTTTTTGAGAACGGACAGTGATACACCCGTCGCCAGAAGGAGAGGCATGCGGGTGGGTTGGAGGTTAGACGTGGCGGCCAGAAGGAGCAGAAGCCGGTGACTAGGTGGTGTAGACGTAGAAGAATTATCTTTCGATGTGTAGCCAAAGCTTAGAGGGGATGGACTAGGGGTCCAAACTTTGACTTGCAGTTGAATAGTATCCATGGTGAGGAATTTGCTAAAGCCCCAATGGATAGAGACACTGTTCACAAAGATCATGATGAGTTAGAAGGTAATTGGGTGAAAAGCATGGAGGGAAATATTTGAAATCCTCAGCCAAATCTTCTGTTTCCTGAAAGTTTCAGAAAGGGGAGACGGGAGACCAAGTAGAAAAGGACAAAGAAGCCCATTTGAAGTTCAACATCTCAAGTTGGAGGACTTTGTCGGCAGAAGCATCCGAGGAGAATGAGAAGAGGATAAGGCCGTAGAGAGCCTGCGACATCCAAGGTCCGAGTCTTTCCATTAGTGTTGGCCCAGTTTCTCGATACCCCTAATGTTGTCCCTCTTGGGACTGAAGAGGCCGATAAGAGAGGAAGCTAACCTACACTTTTGGGCAGAGATATGGGGGACCTGCCAGTGAAATGATGTTCAGGGATGTGAGATAGCCATGGAGAGGAGGAAGGGTGGGTGGGGGGGGGTGGGTGGGTGGTCAAGGTAGAAGACAAAGGACCAGGTGTCTGGGGGGCCGAGGAGGCAGAGGGGGCTGAGCGGGGGAGGTGGTGTTAATAAGATGGACATAGTTATGGTAGAGTGGGGGAAGGGAAGGGGGTGGAAAGTTGTCGGACGGAGCACAATATTTCATGGGTTTCCTATAATTCAATACCTTCTCTCTTGGTGTTCTTTACTTCTTTTTTTTTATTGCATGGCTGGTCTTATAGCCATCGCATAAAACTTCTCCTTTAGTTTATTGGCATGCAATGATCACATAAAATTCCGGATACACATCCATTTTGTTCACCCAGCTCTAATTCTATACGCAACTTCTTCCTCAATCTCTCCATTCTCTTAGATTATTGACCCCAAATATTGAAAATAATGTCTTTTTGGTATTTCTTGGCCATAAATCTTAACTACTTCCTTGTTTCTACTCCTATTATTACTGAACTTGCATTCTATATATTGTCTTAGTCCAGTTAATTTTAAAACGTTAGATTATAGGGCATTCCTCCAAAGTTCAACTTTACATTGACGGCGCTTCTATCGCATCAATCAAGACTGTCATCACGAATAATATGTACCATGGTATCTCATTCTTTAGATTCGTAGTTAATTCGTCCATAACCAAAACAAACGGATATGGGCTCAATGCTGACACCTAATGTAGCCCTACTATCACTTACACTTAACCAAGCACATGTGGTTAATGTTCCATTCTGGCATGCTTGAGTAGGAATATCTAGATGGCGAGGAAGCATCGTCTTTTTCGGTTTTGTGTAGCTATCCACTGTGATGGATTTTTGTCTAAGAATGGCTAAAACTTCAAAAATCCCTCCGTTATATATATATATACTTCTGATGTTTTGGTGAATTTATGGGGACTGGATGTTTAGTTCAACTTGGGGTGATTGTGTCCTTGACTTATCATTCTTCTAATTTTTTTCTTAACAGGTTTGTGGTAATGAAGATTTAGGTAGGGAGAGAAAAAGGGTGCATTTGTAGGGAAAAAGCAAGGATCGGCGTTACTTGTAAATTATTGAGAGATTATGGTAAGTAATATTATTGAGTCTTGGTACGTGGTTGAATTTGCATGCAGTTCCCGCCATTTTCAACCATGTATCTGTGATGTTGGGTTTTCTTGTACCATTACAAATAGAAATCTTCCTCAACAAAGAATTTAGTTCCAATGTCATCTCTCTCTCTCTCTCTCTCTCTCTCTCTCTCTCATGCTTTATATGTTGAATCTTGACGGTGGTCATCTTCCATTATATCTTAACAGATAAGCAGACCAGCACAAATTATTTGCATTTGCATGGCTTGCCTGTAACTGTGGCTCCTGAACTTAGAAACTAGCAGGCTCCATTGTTGAGGCTGCTCCTCCTATTGCATATGTTTTGTCTTTTTTTTTGTTTTGTTACTTTTGATCTCTTGGCAGGCAACTTATATGAAGGTTCCAATACCAGGCATGGATTTTCTCTAAACGCATTTTGTCTATAGTCTCGAGGATCCTATGTTGGTCGGAGCATGTCATAATGTTTGTATTGACGAGGAAGCTCTTCTGCTAAAAACTGTGTATATTCGAGAATCAGTGTGTCTGATGCGCCTTGGTGTTCATACCTGTTTTCTATTCCGTGAATTGCAGAAGAAAGGCACTTGGTTAATTTCATTGTGTTCATGGATTGTTGATAAGCACATTATAAACTCGGTATATGGAATTTTGGATACATCCGGCATAATAGTCCCGTTTTCTATATGAGCTTTATTTCCATGATGTGACTCTGAATGAACTTGATGAAATTAAAACAATCCTTCGTAGCCTCAAGTTTAGTCTGTTTTGATTTTTCTTTTGCTCATCTTTCAGTTAGATGCTTTGATTTCTAAAGATCATTCGTTTGCAGTCGTTGTCAAGTCTCATCCTTCAATTGTGTTTTTAAAATGGCGTCATTTTTGTAGAGAGAGAGAGAGAGAGGGGTTTATACACAAGGGGCATCACAGTTAATCATCATTGAAACATTACTATATCATCATTGAAACACTACTATAGGCGTCTGGAAATGGACCTCCAAGGCCTGTCATGGAAGAATGGTAAGGATCAACCGCAACCCCACTCGAAATTGTGCAAAATCTTCCAGTGTAACTACGGTTTATCTCCGCCATCTGTCACTGAGGATGGGCGATGGGTGCTTCTTATATGTCAAGGTTCTATTTGACGCGGAATCACAGGAGTTGTCTTGTGACCGGTGGAGTACTGTGCTAGTTCTCGGTCAAACTTAGGCTAGTCATCCAGTACCCCCTTTTCATATAAAAACGTTAAAAAAGAAGGTTTTTTAGAAAATTTTTCAACTGAATCTGTCAATTCAAAATTTTGAACCCCGATATTAATTGATTTGGACACAAATTGATCCCCCTCTTTGCCCCCCAAAAATCATTCTTTTAATAAACGTTCGTGTTTAGGTGAGATTTTTTGGCAAAATCTTGCCATCCTTTGAGCCTCAAAACCCAATACGCCTTTCTTGCAATCTCACGCATATCTCAACCAAATAATTTGCAATTTGAATCAAATGTTTGGTTTTTCGTTCCCTATAACAATATGTTGGATTGAAAAATAGAATAGAAGAATTTTAATTTCAAATTTAAGGAGTTTTTTAATCCAAATGAAAGTCTTCGATTTCTCTTATCGGTTGTTTAAATTTATCTCAAAATTTTTATATCACATTAATCTACAAACTTTCAACAGATTTTTTAAATCAAAATCAAGGATGCCCACCATTTTTCTTTCTTGTATCTTTTCTGATATTAACTTTTTTATAGTGCCCAAAAAATGCCTTTACCCCTGACAAATGACCTATTCAAGAGGATGTTCTTGCTCTTAAATTTTGGCATTTAACTTAGAGTAATGAGGTATTATTTTGGAAAAGAAAAAGAATATAAAACACTTTTTGAGTATTTAAACATGTGTCTGCCCAAAATTTGAATGGTTTATATGCAATCTTGCGAGGCAATAAGGCTATTATTATGATGATGATGATGTGCAGTAAATTTTTGAGGGGTGAGGTTTCAATAAGGTTTCAACCTTAAACAATTCAATTTAAGGTGCACCTCTAAATTTTATCGTAAATATAATTTTGTATAAAAAATTATTAGAATGACTTGAGCATCTATTTTCATCTTTAATTATAAAACTTTAAACCCTAAAAATGGTTCAAATCAAGTAGATCTATAAATACATAAAAATCTTAAAAATGGATGGTTCAGATAATGTATTGCAAGATACATTACTTCTTGCACTCGTAATCTTTTTTTTATTTTTATATTCATATATCTCCACGTTGACATAATAAATTAGAGAGTTTTCCGACCTCAAAACAACCTTTTATAGTAGATTTTTATAATTTTTTTTTTTTTTTGTAAGCATATTCGAAATGTGTATTCTACGTTCTTCACCGTTTCTCTCTCTTTCTTTGGTAGGTTGAATGTGTCACATCACAAAGTTTAAAAATCTTAAAAGTACTCCTACCCTAAGTAGGGTTTTTTTTCAAAGTTGAGAGATGTATAATATTTTCAATTGTGAAGCATAATGATACCTGACTTAGAGGCCACATAGGACTAAAGGAATCGTTGTTTTGAATGTGAGGAAGTGTACAGGGTCGTCAGTTATGTCCTATGCTGTATAACGTGCCGACATGACTTCCAATTCCCCAAAATCTAGACGAGGGACGAGCTGTAGTGTAGAGCTCCACCGTTTGTCTCTAGAATGGGCGGTCGATACGAAGATCAAGTAGAACACCCTTTGGAGATAGTGGATCACGATTTAAAGGCAACTGGTAACTACAATTGTTGTAGGCCCCAATATAAGCTTTTACCAAGTAGAAGGCGTATGAGCCTATTCTGCGTCTACCACTCTAGTGATTTAATTATATAGCACACTAACAACAACCCTATGCCACATACCTTTCTAGGATCCTTCTACTGCCCCCTCTAAACCAAGAAAGCCTTCACTCTAGTTCGAGATCACAGGTCAAACGGAAGTAGGGCCTGAATTGTAGGCCCGGGCTCGACCCGAATCTGTAATGAAACGGCCTGAATGCAAAATATTGGGCAAGGACTTGCATAAATATAAGAAAGCTCTTTCAAAACGTTGATAAAAGATTTTCGAGCCAGGCGCCTAGGTCTGGCATGAAAATATTTCATGCCTACCAAGCCTGGCCCGGGTTCATTAACATGTGGCTCGAGTCGGCTTGAAGCTAGGTCTGGACAATAAGCCAAGCAGTTAGCAACCCTAATTGAAGGCCACTTATTCTTGCAAGAGTGAGTGCCCCTCACCCAGTCTAGTTTTGAGACCAAATAAGGATCGAGGGATAACCCCAACCAACCCCCCTCCCTTCTCCAATATTGAGTGATTACCCATCTCTCTCTCTTGTCGTAGGGTTGGCAACAGGCTGGGCCAGCCTTGGCCCTAGCCCGGCCCAAGTTCCCATAGGGCCGGCCGAGCCCCACCTGGCTACTTCTTCGTTGCACGTGCTTGTCGTCTATTATTGAGTGATTACCCATCTCTCTCTCTTGTCGTAGGGTTGGCAACAGGCTGAGCCAGCCTTGGCCCTAGCCCGGCCCAAGTTCCCATAGGGCCGGCCGAGCCCCACCTGGCTACTTCTTCGTTGCACGTGCTTGTCCTCTATTACTAGTACACTCCACATTTCTTTGTGGGGTTTCTCCCATGTGCTATTCTGGTCTTCGAAAAGCCATTTTTGCTAGAAATTCAACACTTGGCTTCCTCTCCTCCATATGAATTTATATGACCCCTCTCAACACAACTTACTGTTTCTTTCACCTTCCCATCTAATGAAAATTGGTATCAATGGTATCCTTACCTTTGGACAAACACAAAAATGTTACCTAATTTTCTCCAAGATATAGAGAATCACTATTTCACTCCAAAAAAACACTTCAAAATAAGAGAAAAGGAGAAAACAAGGAAAAAGATGTCGGGGATATATTTAGTTAAGGAAATAAGAAAAATAAAATAAAAAATGGTGAGATATATTTCGTTTAGGATGTAGTTTGTATAAGGTGTCAACTTTAAATAATCAAAGTAAGGTGCATTTCAAATAATGCTAAAGGATCCCTACCTATATTGGAAACCCTTACGACAACTTAAAATTTATTTTCATTCCAAATTATAAAATTTAAAGTTCCAAAAATGACACAGTGGACGATCTACAAACACTTAATTTTTTTAGAAATGGACGATCTACATAATTAATTACAAGAAGCACCATTTTTAAGATTTGAAATATATATATATCAACGTCAAAATGATCATTTGTGGGGTTTTCAATATAGTACAACATTTAAAGTAAATTTTTAAAGCACACCTTACTTTTATATTACAAGATTGACATATTGTATAACTTTTTCCTTCAATAGATACATTTGTATGCATGACTTCTTAAATGGACAAGTGCCATGAAGTTTTTTTTTTTTTTAGTGGAATGCTCT